GCCATATTCACAACCCTGCTCGCAGCACACGGGCAATACGGTGCATTATACGTTATGAAAACCTATAACCTAACGGTATGGAAATGGCAGCCGTTCGGCGTTAAAAGATCAACACGCGATAATGTTGCAAACAACGCCGTCCGATTGCGTATTACCTTTACCATCATGAGTAGCGGAGTTAATGTTTCGCTGCCCACCAAGCCAATATCATGTTAGCGTCAGCGCTGCTAACGTAACCAACTTGATTTTGAATGACAGGTGTGCATTTGGAGACAGTCTCTTTTTATTGACAAAATTGCCGCTGCTACATGTATTCTGATTTTAAAGAGTCGTCTAGTGTCCAGACTGCCACTAACTGGTTTCACTTTTCCCTGCACTAAAGTTGCTCGCCTTCCACACATGGTAGTGGTTGTGTGGAAGCAGCGCTGGCGCTAACATGACACTTGCTGTGTGGGCAGCGCAACATTAACTGCGCTACGAGGACATTTGGGTGCTGTGAACATACCCTTCACGATTAGGGTGCAATGAACACCCGACTGCTCTGCAGCTCGCAACGCTACTGGCATCACACGGAATTTTAAAATAAATCCAAGTTTAAAACACACAGCATCCAGTACGAGTACGAGTACGCGCATATATTTGTTTATTTCCAGTATCTTGTTGTTTTAGGTTTGTTGTAGTGATGTTTGTTTTTCTATTTTTTACGAATTTTTCTGATTTGCTACGTGTACTAAATCCAACTGTCCACAAATATCAGCTATGGATCTAGTCGCCAGAGCTTGTTATAATGCTGCTATGGACGCAGCAGTCAAGTCATGTCAGGAGGGAATTTCTGTTCTGGAATTTCTGTTCTGTGACTTAAAATTGTGAAGCACTATGATCTTTTAAAATAAGGTTGAAGATACGATAATTTTTTGTGGACCGTAATTTGTCGAAACAGACGTTGAAAATACTTGGATATAACATTTTTGTCAAAATAAAATTTTCCGTAAAGTTAGTTCCCGGGTGTTCATCGCACCCTAATCGTGAAGGGTATGTTCACAGCACCCAAATGTCCTCGTACTCATAATGGTTAAAACAATCGGACGGCGATGTTTGCCAGTAATACCGCTTGTCGATCTTTTAACGCCGAACGGCTGCCGTTTCCGTACCGCTATTTAGTGAAAACCGTTGAATGCAACTGAAAAAGGTCACCACCGTTTTATCGCGTTCGCCTAGTTATAGTTATACGAATCAGGTAAATTGCGAATGTGCTCATACAGCGTGGTAGTGTTTGAGCTGCAAAATAAGTTTACAAGTCCAAAAGGGTTGCTGCAGAGTAATTTACAGTACACATAAACACGTCAAGACCGAGACATCGGGGGCAGTATAACCCATTTCTAACTACTAAGAAATAACGCCCCGCGATAATGTATAATAAGTTCTCTGTTAAATCGGTAACACGGCATTTGGTCGAAGGGAATTTGCCGACAATCATTGACAAACACACGCGATATCGACCGGTCACGAACCCGAACTACTGTAGCTGTAGCTCTCGCATTTGTTCTTGAGCCGGTCGCTGATTTGTCAGTCGACAAAATGTCGGTGACCATGTTTAATAGTGGCGTATGCTACTAACATGTAAACCATAGGCAAAGCTTATACCATAAAGTAGCATTTAACAACCTCTCAACGTCATAAACAAAAACAAGTAAAGCGAAGTGCGTATGGAGCTGTGTTTAAAGTTTGCTGTTAGTCTCTCTGCGCTTGTTTTACTCGACCGGAAGGCGAAGTTCTTCTGAATTAAGGAAAAAAATGCGAAAATGTATCGGTGTCCGTTACGAAGTTCGTTACGGAAGTAACATGTAAGACGTCACCGATTACGGGAGCACCAGCTATGTCATCACTCATCACCAATGCCGACAAGCATAATATCATCGATGGCTGCATTGACGTCCCGGGACTATACAGGCATGCTGCAGAAAATGATCTGTGCGTGTACGGGGGCTGGTAACGGAAGACAGCAAAGTTTTAAGAAGACCAAGTAATAACTAAACTTCTGGTGCACAATCACGCTTTTAAACGTTTCGCTAAATTCGGCTGTTAGTCGCATTCAAATCATGCACGGTATGTTCTCGCACCCAAGAGTATTCGTACACAAGATTTTTATTGCAAAAAGTGATGCACAGAGTGAGACGTTGAAATAACCAAGTAAAAGGTCGCGAACACCTTTAACTGCATATTTTGCATCTTTGACCAAACCGCACCCATAAGAGCACCGCACCTTACCAAACCGCACCCGCGACTCTGTTGCATTATCACCGGGGCTTATATCACGGGGTTCATTAGTGGCGACAATAGGAAGCCGCTCGGTCTACTGCCTTCAGGCAGACGCTGATACTGGTCCCTGTACTGGCTGTACACATATTGTATACACATCTTCAGTTTTCTAATGAAGTAAGACGCAGAGAATATCGTTTTCTGGTGTCCGGTTTGCGAATCATTATTGTAGTGGCCGGAACGCACACACGTTAAAATATTGTACTGCTTGTTCTGGCACAACCCACAGCAAACATTTACAACTTTATTATTACCATTGTATAGTTATTATTACCACAAGTTTCTGCCTTAAGTTTGCTTTTGTAATGTGTTGAATAATTTGCTTTTAATACAGCGTAGCAATTTCCACTTTTATAGCCTTAAAAGGTGCATAAAAGGCACCTTTCGCCTCTTTTCACGTTATGCACCCCTTGTGCACCCTGTTTTCGGCTGACGGTTTCAGTTGAGAAGAGTGGACCTACTGCTTGCACCAAGCAACCGGCCGATTTGAATAAATTTTGCTAGTTTTAATTTTGCTACAGACCAGCATAAAACAGGTAAAACAAGGAAGTAAAAAATGAATTTTTGGGAAGTCAAGCGATTAAGTGCCCGAACTAACGCCGATTTTTCTTTTGGACAGTTTTCTTTTTCGATGGTTGAAATTTTTGTTTCTTTTGATTGTTTGTAGTATAAGGTCCGTAACAAGATCTATATCGTTTGCATACCTTTAAAATTGACATGCAGGCAAAACAGGGAAAGAAACTTTTGGCATGCCCTTTGTTTTTCATTTATTCACTACAGTTTTAGCCCAAAACAACAATATCTGCCTTACTTCCGTAATTTCGGTTGATCGTTATCATCAATTAGCGCGACAGTGTTATCAGCTTCGACACCCGATTCACTTTCTTCCAGAACGCTTGGACATCTGTCCAGACTTTGCCCATCCTCGACTTTTCCCATCCCCATTTCATCCCCCTCTGTCGTGCGCAACTCCAATCCCAGCCCATCTCCAACCACCTTAGTTCACCAGCCCTGTCCCGCTTTGAGGCCCCATTTTCAGCCCATTTTTTTAAAAAATTTTCAGTACTGTAAATTGTTGAAGATTAAGCAAAGTGAAAATAATAACGCGTAAAAATCAACCCGTAGCGCAGAAATTCCAGGCGAATTTAGAATATTAAACAGCAAACAGCTTAAAATCCACGCGGAGCGCGGAAATTTTTTATTTTTTTCGACTGAAAAGATGAATTTCCGTGAGTTTTTAGCTAAGAAAATCATGAAAATTTTAAAAATTTATTTAAAAATCGTTTTTCTTGATCCCATCCCATCTTCAAACATTTTCAGTCCATCTCAGCCCATCCACTGCTTGTCCTCATCCGATCCCCATTTCATCTAAAAAATGGGATGGGCTGGAAAAGATGGGGAAAATTTTCAGCCCAACCAAAAGATGGGCAAAGTCTGGTAGGAACTATTATCTCTGCATGACATGCGTATACTATAGAATGGGCACATTTCTACAGGCAAGCAGTCATATCAAGGGAAGTGGCCGGTACATGGCACCAGATTCGTGTACAATGTTCAATACAATTACATGCACGAAAACTTTCACTTTCGCGCACAACCAAATACATTTTTTGTTTCGGTTTATCACATTCTACAGCCAGAAAACTTGCATACACTGGCGTAAAAACCGTTTGTGAGCGCAACATCCGCTTCGGGAGTTGTGGCTGTTATGGCCGTTCATGCACTCAGGTGTACCGAACGTCTCATTATGGACCGATTTTAACTCAGATTTTCACGTAAATGCACATGGATCTGAACACCAATCCAGACTACCATGATTTTTTTTCACATTGTAAAATAAATTTTAAAATTTTTGAAATCGATTTTAAAATTTTGTTAACATGCTAGAACGGTGGATCGATGTAAAAGCGTAATGTGCATTTATATACGTTATGTTCGTGGTTAAGTGCATTTACGTGCAAACTTTGAGGAGATCGGTACAAAATGAGACTTTTGGTACACTTGAATGCATTAAACTTTTTGACATTTTTTTGCAGCCATAACTCCCGAACCGGATAATGCGCCCATAAAGTTTTTTTGCGCCGATCTATATTCTGGCTGCAGAATGTCTTTAACCGCAACAAAATGTGTTTGGAAGTGGACGAAAGTGAAAGTTTTCGAGCATGCACACGAATTTGGTACCATGTACCGTGCTGTGAGCGCTGAGCAAGTGCTTATAGCATTTGCCCGTGCGCTAAACGTAACGACAATGCAGCATAAGCTAGCAAAATAGTAGCAGCGGTATTAAGCCTGAAGAAAAGCTGGATGTTTCCAGTTTTTGCTAACGAACGGGAGAGCTAGAAACCATTGTTTTTATTTTAAACGTGCGCGCGCTAGTACTTGACCATTGTAGTACAAGATGGAAATCAACAACAAAATGTGAAAAACAGAGAAATGGACTTTTTACCTTTCGCGCGGTGACGGTACTTCGGTAATATCACTGTCTGAGATGGACATCGACCGCTGACGAACACTACTGTGGTTCCTGTAGATAAAGGTCGCAATTTATTCGAAAGTATTTTAAGCACACTGCCGTATCTCAATTATTTACCAACGAATTCGTACCGCTAAGCAGCTAATTAACAGACAAATTGCATTACACAAAACAAGCAGCTTCCAGTAGAGCTGCGACCCACTTCTTACCCTTTCTGTGGCGAACTTAAAATCTCAATGTCGGTTTTCGGAGGGCCTAACAAACGGCTACGAGCGCGATGAGAAAACAAGGGACTTCTGCGGCTGTGAATACACATGGAAAGGTCAGGACTTTCTTGCCAGTGTACGTAAAAACTAAAAACACAGTTTGAAGTTTCCGAAGCGTTACCTTTTTTTGGGCTCCGGCGATTCCAGATTCTCTTCATGTAACAGGTCCTCTTCATCGAACGGGTCTTCGATGTGCTGCCGTTTTCCAAGCAAGCTGCCTGGTCTGCATAAAACAGCAGGCTTGCGGTTACATGGCTTAAATATAGTTACAGAAGTTACAGGCATAACTAAAATGCTTAAGAAAACACCTGTTAAATGACCCAGTAATCTGATTACGTGTGCGTAGTCGTTGATCGGCTTTTCAGGGCTAAAGGTAGGAGGCTACACAAAACTATCAGATCCATAGCATTTTTTTCCGATTTTAAAATAAATTTCAAAAATTTTAATAACAGTTTAAAATTATGGGAAAATGCTATGAACCTTAAATTGGTTCACTTTCGACTTTATGGCCATGTGCATTTTGCAGCAAAATTTCAAGAAGCTCGGGTAATAACCAGACTTGTACACAACAATGCATGACTTGTATTGTGGTACTTGTACACAACAATGCTTTTAAACTTTTCACCCATTTTAAGCACGCCATATCTTGGCAAAAGGATGTTGCGCGCGCCAATGGTTTTCAAAACAATGCATACAAATCATTTAGCTTTGGAACGACACAAAGTAATACAAAAAAGTGATTCGAAGTGCGCGAAAGCGACAGTTTTAGTAAATGTATTTATTTTTGACACAATGTGCCGGGCCATTTACCTCAAGGGGATGGCTATGGAGGGCTTTAGTTCTAAAATTTCATTTTGCAAGAAGAAGCCGCTGTACAGATGGACCACCGCTGTATTAGATGGTAAAAAGACCGAAGTGACAAGACTCCGGGGTTATGAAATATGAATTTTTTAAGGTGGCTACCTGATTGGCGTAACAGTGGAAGCAGTGATTGGCTCGACTCACCATTACGTACGCAAATGCGAGTTTGCGCATATTCAATGAAGGCAATGGAGAACAAAGACTTGCGATCTACATCTTTTGTTTTACTGACAGCCATAAATCGAGCACTGGTCAGTGGGATGAAAGCAAACACCGAAAGACAATAGATTTTGGTCACACATAAGTGTGGTAGGAAGCGGACAATCGGCTGTCTGGATAGTCTCTTTGGTTTGATACACGTGGCGGGCTGTAACAGTCAGCATGTCCGTGAGTGATGTAAACTTGCATGAACTTTCAAAGGCACCCGTTTAAAACGCGGTCGATAAGCTGTGAATGCAACTAGTCAATAACGGAGAACATTTTTTATTACAAAAATCCCACAATCAGTGGGTGAACATCTCAAAAGTTTAATTGCGAGAGCGATTTTGAAAAAATTAAGTTTTACTGAAGTTATTGCTAAAAGAAGCAACTAGAAAAGTGTTTATCGCCAATTACAACTTTAAAATTTTGTTTTTTAAAAAAGCTCCCGCAAGGTGCTGGGAATTTTTATTTTCCATTTTGTGACTGGACTTCCCCAAATCCCCTGAGTGTGTTCGGACTAGTTAGTTTTTGGGCGTGGTAACTTTGAGAACGGTTTTAAAGTGACTCGCTCAGTTTATGTTTGGGGTTGATAGTACTGAATTTTTCTTTGATTTAACTATGTATACAGGAAGAGCGAGAAACTGTTTATGTTTTTGAATAACTAGGAATGTTATACTTTCTAAACGAATTAAGCCCTCCTAGCCATGGCCTTAAATGAAATGGCCTGTGTAACCAATTACACTGAGGTCTCTACATCAGGACATTATCCTGTGTTTGCAGGTATTTCATAACAGATACATGGAAAATTGCCCTATGTAGCAAGTAATATGTGATGATGCTTCAAAACCGGAGCATGCGCGCGGCATTCCGTTGTAATAAAAAAAAACAGAAATAAAAATGCATACGTAAATACAAAAATTTAAAATTGTAGATTGTAGTACACCGGAACAAACTGTAGTACAAATATGGATAGATGTTCAGTCGTCCTAATCTGCTCCCTAGCCTTGCCACCGGAATGATATTAATTTTCAGTTGTTCGAAGGGATATAACCTCACTTCCGGTTTGCATTTATTCCATTCAAAGAAACTTAAATAATATTTCAGTTGCCCATGGGCCATCCCATATATTTCTCGTTGAGAAAGGATATCTATCTATATCTATAATAATAAAAGAATAAGCCTTAACGAAATTCCTTGTGTGCCACCGATGCGTTAACGCTGCACTCGACCAAACTCCGATGTCTATAGGTCGTTCGATAGATCTTAACGAATAGATTTGCCAGCAAAAGTCAATTTTTGGAAAAACGTAAACGTTTGAAAGAAAACTTTGAAAAACCGTAACATAGAAAGACTATGGGAAAAGTTAAGAATCCACCACTGCAAACCCGACCATCTCATCACTGTTTAGGCAGCCATAACGCGTTGACCAACGTGGCTAGGACTGGGGACACCTTTTATGTTCTTGAATCGTGATCGCGTAACATTCCTTAGTTTTTAATGAATTTATAAATTATCTGATCAATATTTCATATTTGGCTTCAAGAATAAAAGAGGATTTGAAAAGGAAGACGTAAAACAGTCTTCGAATACGGAACTGCAGTTCAATTGCTCAAAATTATTTCTCAGGGAACTGTCGTTCGCCGTGGTTTGACCAACTTAACGTTACAAACTTTCCTGGGCGGTCGCCATTTTTACTAATTTGCCGCTGTAAGTCCAAAAAATTTACTTTTGATTTACTTATATTCTGTGAAAATCGATGTCCGAGAAAGGCGGCATTGCATGTCTAATCAGTAGGGATGATTAAAGGACAGCATGCCGGCAGCTGCACATCTTACATGATCTTGGGTTGTTTGTTACCTCCGCACTTACAGTAAATGTGTATTACGAATTTTATGAACATCAGATGCTACTTATACTGTATAATGCAAAATTTTTTCGTTTGAGCGATTGCTTAGCGGTCCTTAGGCGTTAACTTGCAGTTAACCAAGGTAGAACGCTTCGTTATTGAGAACGAGAGACTTGTGCGAAACTTGCAATGATTCCATAAGCTCGCCATGGAAGGCGGAGCCGCAGGCGACGCCGAGCTGCGCCGCGAGCGGAGCTCGCGAAGCAGCAAACATGCAAATGACAATTTGCGGACCGGTTTCTGGGATTAGAAAATTTCAGTAAAATGAATTGTCTATATTAGTGCAGGTACCTATATACCGTAAGCATCAAATAGAGGGCACCTGTGCAGCCACTACACGAAGCTTAACTGACTGGTGACCGATCTGGAGCAACATTTCGCGTTGCAAGTTTAAGGTCATCGCTGCAGTCAATGGGAACGGCAGATTTTCCGGTACATTAATGAAAAATCTGGATTTTCAATCAGTGTTGCTTTACTGAATAGAAAAGGAGTGTCTACTGACAAGTGAGTATCCCACTGAGTAGACACCAATCGACTAATATTAAAAAGTTAGTAAAAGTAACAGTTTCGGTCTGTAGTTTGTAATAATAAGTAATAAGGTTTTTGTGCTGATAGTATCCAGTAGGTAAAGTTCTGTTACTGCAAGTTTTACTATGATTTAAAACAAAATTCGCCAAATTTATGCCGGAACTCCGGAGAGCTGGTTCCGGAGGCAAAATTATAACTTAGTGCGTAGTTATTAAATAAGTAACTTTTTTAAAACCGGAAGTAACAGTAAGTAAACAATAAACGCGTTGGCAGAAAAATAGTAACAGTAAAGCAAGCAGGAGAACATTACGGACAGCACAGGGTGTCCGAAACTGACAGTAACGCAATAATGGGATTTTGCCTTTTGGTATACTATCGCATTATTCATTCCGCGCAATTCGCGCGGGGTCTGCTAGTAATTTTAACTAAATTACTAACAAATCGACGTAACCAAGCAAAAATGTCATCGACAACAAGAAGCTACGTACGTATGTATACGCCCCTTATTTACTGATGTACATACACTAATAAATTAAAATTATTTCCATTCGGCAGTACAATATCCCATGCAAATTTCGTTATTGCTGCTCACATTTGAATCTGCTGAATAAAACTCACCTAAAATTTAGAACATAATTATTTCAAGTTGAAAAATTATTATTTTAATTTTGAAGAAATCTGTGTCGTTGATTTTGTTTGTTGTTTACTGTTAATGAATTGAAGCGTTCCTTGCTAGCCGTGGCGGCGGCTTATTTCAAAAAACAGTAAAATTGAGGCCTTCTTAAAAAAAAACAACAGAAGAAAACCTTAAAAATAAAATTCTAAAATTTTGAAGCATACAGAGAATCCCAAATTTCGAGCACGCTGATTTCGAGCACGCACGCTTTCGCATGCCCGTAATATATGCGATGTGAAAACACAAATTGTTTTCAATAACAGGAAACTTAGATGCCACTGCATATCTTTATCGACTAAATTTTTGATGAAATCTAAAGTATGTGTTTACGTTTGTGCAGTCGCTTTAGGACAAATGACCCATATTATTTAACAGTTTTAATTTAAATTAACTGCTTGGCTGCATGAAACCTTACCTGCCATTGCTTGTTGCTGGCAGTAACTCGTCAAGTGCGCTCGGTTCGTCACTTCTACGGTTCTCTCCAAACATGTCCTCATCCTGCATCAGAATTCTTCAGTGGATGTTACACAAAAGCGAATGGGTGAAAATGCTTACGGAATCCGTATAAGCGAACATTTCTCCCGAATGGATGATTTTTGTCCCATAATACGATAACACAGACCACAATGCTACTGTTCCATGGAATAAGTGATTGCGAGATACAAAAAAGAAAATAAAACGACCGCATTTTGTCCCATTTTACAGAGAACAGATCATTAAGCACAACAGAACGGTAACGGGAAGAACTAACAATAATGCATAATTGATTCGTAGTGTTTGATGGTCCTGACAGCTGCCTTGTGGAAGCGGTCCGCTCATGATTCGGTACCAGGTGCTTTGATCTTGCACCGCGCAGCGCCTTTTTTGTTTCATTCAGTATACCGGTGCTTTGATTTTGTTAATGTTCGTTCAGACTTGTTTGCGCTTGTGCACAAAGAGGAGTATCCTCATAATTGAGAGAATGTCCAAGTTAGGACGTTAGTGGTTCACTAGTTCTGAACCTACAGAACCACTGTAGAACCACCAGCTAACCATGTTAGCGCTTACTTGCGCCACACAACCACTCTACCTCGTGAACCAGGTGAACCTATAGAACCACCAGTGAACCAGCAGTGAACCACATACACAGTAACTTGCCGACAAACTGTCACATTGCCACTCTACACCGTGAACCAGGCGAACCTACAG